CTGTATCACCAGAAAAAATGACAATTGTAAGCCTGAAATTAAGTTTAAATCCATGAAAAATACAAAACTGGAATGAAAGGAAATTGAAATGTCAGAGCAACTGGACCTCGCAGCTATAATGTACTGTATTCATGCTGAAAGCTGAAGATAAAGAAAAAACACACCTTAAAATAGGCTTTTCAACGCGCACACACATTCACATCTAGCAAGCTCTCTCTTTGTGTATGTTCTGAATGGAGTACAATTTGTAGCACCTACCAGCAGAATGTGGTCTGGATGTAAATTGAAAAATGCCTTATTTTTCTAATTCTACAAATACAGGACAAGACACTATCTTTCCCTAGCACAAAGTGGGCCAGCAGCACAGGAGCAAGAAAGCTGCACCTTCCACAGTCTAAGGTTTGCCCTACTGCAAAGAAATGTCAAGGTACGTTGTCCACTCTCCCTGTGAACTTGGGGTGGGATGGAGCCTCCTGAGAAACCATCCCCTTCAGAGCTACCCTAGGAGGGTCCCACTCCCAAGCTTACCCATAGAATGTGTTACATGTGTAACACCTTTCATGTAATTTAAAGGTATAGAACAGAGTACAGCTAAATTATCGGAGGTGTATATCAAATGGCACAATAAAAATGGGTAAACTACACAAAAAGAAAATTAATCTAATATCTAGTAAGTTGGGGGAACAGGGAATTTTACAAGAGAATAAAAAATAGCCCAAAATAGAAAATCAGGGCAAAGGGATTTTCATCAGTGACAACATGAACAAAGGACAGGTGTAGTGTTTGTAACAGAGGAGGGAAGCCAAGGAAAATTTGGGAAAAAGCAAACGTTTCTTACTCCATGTTTATAAATTGAATGAATGTTTGGTGCTATATAAGAGATTAACAATAACAACAATATGAAATGCTGCAGAACACACACACACACAGTACATAATACAGTAGATGAAGGAAAAACAATTATGTCCCAAGATCTCTGCCGGGAATAAAAAATTTTGTTTTGTCTTGTTTAATAGCACCCAGCACACTGGTGTTTAATTAAGCACTGTAGCACTTGAAACATAAGAGCATGACTCCCAGAATACCATATGTTTATTAAAACTTGTCCAAGCAGATTTAAATACTGAATTGTAATCTTTATAAAACCTTTATTTATAATTATTTCATCTGATTGCATCAAACACTTATATTAAGAATGACTAATGTAACCATGGGAACTTTGGTTAAAAATAGTTGATCATGTATATTCATCATAATGGACAGCTTCCTTCAAAACTGCACTAAGTTTCTTGGGCAGTACAATCCCACACAAGGCCATAAAGTTTTTAGGAAACATACCTTGTATGAAGCATAATATGGTGGAATCTTCTTTAACCTGATACTGACATAGTTGAAGACGGAAAAACATCAATGAAACTTGCACCCAATCTAGATTTTGTTTTCAATCCTGCTCCTATTGAAGGCGATCAGTGTTTAATCATTACCTTTAATGGGAACAGGATCAGGACCCCTAAATTTCTCACTAACATCATCTACTACAAGCTCCTCCTTGGCTCTCTCTGCACAAATAGTCAACACAGACATACTGTGTACTTATATTATACATTATGAAAATATTTCATGCATTAATGCAACACAGATTTTTCTTACTTTATTATTCTTATACATAGCATTTGTGACCTCACAATCATCAGAGGTATTTACAGGAGTTATAACTCAATCATAAAAAAATGGTTATTATGGCTGAAAATTGGCTTGGAGTACCTCTTTGAAACAAATTTGATTAAAAATATTTCTGGTCTACTGTTCATAGATTCCAAGACCAGACGGGATGGTTGTGATTATTTAGTCTGACTGCCTGTATAACACAGGCCATAAAATTTCCCCAAAATAATTCCTAGAACATATTTTTTTGAAAAATATCTATTCTTGATTTTAAAATTGCCAGTGATGGAAAATCCACCATGACCCCTGGCAAATTGTTCCAACAGTTGCTAACCCTCCATGTTAAAAAAATATGCCTTTTTTTCCAATCTGAATTTGTCTAGCTTCAATTTCCAGCCATTGTGTTATACCTTTCTCTGCTAGATTGAAAAGCTAGGTTGAAATATTTGTTCCCCATGTAGGTACTTATAGATTCAAGTCACCCAATAACCTTCTCTTCGTTAAGCTAAATAGATTGAGTTTCTTGAGTCAATTAATATAAGGCAAGTTTTCTAATCCATTAATCATTCTCGTGGCTCTTCTCGGAACCCTCTTCAATTTATCAACATCTTTCTTGAATTGTGGAAATCAGAACTGGATCCAGTATTCCAGCAGCAGAACCACCAATATCAACTGCAATGATAAAATACCCACTTCACCCCTACTTGAGATTCCCCTGTTTATGTGTCTAAGGATTGTATTATTCTTTTTGGCCACAGTGTTGCACTGGGAGCTCATGTTCAGCTGATTATCCAACCCTCCATCAAAAAAAAATCTTTTTCGGGGTCACTACTTTTTGAACTTGAAGGGAGCAGTCTCTGTTGGCATTGCTCAACCAGCTAACATCCAAATAACTAGAGACTGTGAGCTGTTCATTCAACATTATGAAGGTCATTCTTGGATTGCCTACGTTTTGGACTCCTACATCCTTTGCTTTTGCAGATTTGTGTAACAAACCAATTACTGTATTATGACTCTTTTTTATTGAGTGTACACCAATGGCTGATTTTGCAGTCTTCTGTTGGTTTCAATAGCAGCTTGCAACTCGGGCTTATATGCCCATAAAGTTTGAAATATTGGGTCCATGGAGGAACTAAGTACCTTCATTTTAGACAAGGATGTTTTAATCTTTGTAGTTTAAGAGACAACAATCAAACTGCATGAGTGATGAACGTGTGATAAGCCATCTCCTGATAATATCATTCTGCACTTATAAATATAGGGAACCAGCTAAATGTACCACTAGCTTTCATGTATGAGTTGACTGTAGCTCACAGCAAAAATACTGGGGACCATAGCCAGGCAGGAAAGGTGAAAAGATCGTGTTTGGAGCCTGATAGCTGGAACTGGCCAGAGCAGTAACCAGCTGAACTCTAGAGTGTGACTAACAGTGACACCCTTTGGCAGGTCTGGTCTGCGAGGCCAAGAGGAGTGTCACCTGTCCCAATAGTTTTAGGATCATCTTGGTTTTATTAGGGTGAGCCTGTATCTTGCAAAGAGACTTGAAGGATGCTCACAGGCCCTGAAATCAATTCCGGGGACTGCGAAATGTCATTCTACTCTTGATACTACAAAATGCTGCAATTTTTTTTTTTAAATATAGTATCCTCACATTGCATTTGGATGTTCTGATGCGACATCACTAGAGTGTGAAACAAGAGTTTATCTTGCTGGAAAAATGACAATCCTACCAGCGTGATCAATGGGTAAGAAGGTTGTTGTTGGATTAGTTCCTAGGCTTGGTGAAATGTGGCTTGCCAGCAATAGCTGTGGTGAAGGAAGGGATTCTTGGTGGCTGGGTTTTGTACAGTAACTCCCCACTTAACGTCCTCTCGCTTAATGTTGTTTCGATGTTACGTCCCTGCTCCATTACAGAACATGCTCGTTTAAAGTTGTGCAATGCTCCGCTATAATGTTGTTTGGCTGCCTGCTTTATCCACGGCTGGCAGCTCCCCATCAGCTCCTCTATGCCCCAATCAGAGCCTCTCACTCGCAGGTGGACCCCGCGGATCAGTGCCTTCCCCCTGCTCCCCTCGCCTCCTGCCCACGGCAATCAGCTGGTTTGTGGCATTCAGGAGGCTGGGGGGAGGGGGGAAGGAGTGAGGACATGGTGTGCAGCCTCCCTCCCATGCCTCCTGAACGCCGCAAACCAGCTGATTGCCATGGGCAGGAGGCAGGGGAGGAAGGGGGAGGCTGCGGGCCATGTCCTCGCTCCTCCCTGTGGCAATCAGCTGGTTTGTGGCGTTCAGGAGGCTGGGCGGAGGGGGAAGGAGCGAGGACACGGCGTGCAGAGTAAAGGGGGAGGTGGTGGAGGGGGGAGAAGAGGCGGGTTAAGGGTGGAAGCTTGGGAGAAGGGGTGGAGTGGGCAGGCCAAGGGTTGAGCCCCCCCCCCCCCAGCAAAGTCAGTGCCTGTGCTTGCAGAGTAGGGGAAGCTGTAAGATCCATGTATGAGTGCAAATTTTACTTGTCCTAAATAGTCTTGCAGAACCAAATTCTAACATTCGCACAAAAGTTAGAATTTGCAAAAGCCATGTGCAAGTGTTTGTCCCTGCAAAAAGTATGCACAGGCCCATGTATGCAATTTCACGTGTGCACAAGTAGAGACTGTGTTAAGGTCCAGATGAAAATTTAGCCCTCTGAGGCAAGCTCTTAACTGAAATTAAGACGAATTAAAATGACTGGAAAAATTACCACACACAATGACATTTAGGAGATTTCAGCACAGTTCCTTAAAACAAGAGCAAGAACAAAAAAAAATTCTTAAATTCAAAACTCTCTTGCTACATACCATACTGCAATTTAAATTCTTCATTACCTAAAAAAACCCAAACACTTTTCTGATTGACTGTAGCCTGGAATCCTTTTCTGCTTAAACCCTTTGGATCAAAGGTCATATTAATAAAAAATAGTAAACTGGAATTGGAGGACAACTTGTAACTTGTGTATAAGAAGTTCAGTTGTATGGAGAAATTCTGGTCAGGTGGCATGTTCTCTCTGTTGTAACAAAAAGTGCTTGGTTGTGATCCAAAGCTCCATGGTGCTTAAAGGCAAAGTAATTTGCATATTTATCTGACCAGTTGAGCTGACAAGGACTATTTGTATATTTAATATAATTGTTGCTTTACTGCTCCATAAGTCATGTCTCTGCCTTTTATTTTTATCTGGTTGGCATCAAGTAAGCATTAAAGCGCCACGTAAAACTAAGCTATTTTATGTGCTGTTTATACAACAATGGCTTTAAAATTGAAATAGGCTGTCAATTGCAATGTGAATGACATATAAAAGATGCACCCTTATAGTGTTGAAATTCTTATTTATTTCAACACTACATTATGCATCATAAACAAGTTATGTAACTATTATAAAATAATAGGGTAAGAATGTAGACTTTATCAGAGGCAGTTTCAAATTATTCTTGTTATAAATCTGCATTTCAGAAAATTAAAAGTACAGACATTTAACAAAGCAGCTCCTGAAATTAATAACACTTCCGTAAAAAGGATGAAAAATATATAAAGTAGATACATTTATTTTCTTAGACAAACCTTTTTTTAAAAATAATCCTTAATTTTTTGAGTCAGTGATGTATTTAAAACAATCTACTGTAAGATTATAAAGATTGTAGATAGTAAAAAATATATAGTGAGAGGGCAATAAAAAACACAGAGGAATAAAAAAAAGAGTTACTTTCCTTTTCTTTTCCCTTATCATTGTCCAATATTTTCAGATGCCAATTTTTAGAAAAAAAAAAAAGTTAAGCTATTTATACACTTCCAGCAGTTAAAATTAAAAACACATAAGGAATCATTTGCAGATACATCAAATCATTATTATATGAAAAGCAGGCAGCAAAAATTAAAAACATTCTAAGAACCATCATATATACAAACTTCTGTACAGAATGATGACACAGGGACAAAAAGATAACATTCAATTTGTCCTAATCCACCTAAAATATTACACATTATAAAAAAAGCTCTTCCTGTTCTTATGTTTAACTGTTCAGTTGTAGAATCACATCAGGTCCCATATTTGTATACTTGGTTTCTTTTCCTATAAATTAGTGCCTGTTCAGTAGCTAAAAAGTTATCTTAATTTAAAATGATATCAGACAGAAGGAGGAGTGCCCAACCACTAATGAAAGTTTTAAAAAAGCTCATCAGAAATCAGCTTATTTATAACACAGAGCAATTAAAAAAGCTACAGGAAAATCAGGTTTTGAATGTGTAATGCGCTGAACACATTTTTTATTTGAAGCTATCATAATGCTGCTTCTTAGTATTGTTATTAGGCCCAATGTTCTCACTGACTTCCAAAGGTGTTGGGATCAGGCCCATAGTGCCCAATGGTCATTATTACACACCAGTATCCATTTCTATTTTCTGTTAAGTAGTTTGGTATGACAAAGCAAAACGTTCTGAAATAGGAAATAGTGTATTATAAGTTGACAAATGCCCCCTTGCTTTGAAAATAGGTCACAAGCTCCACAAAAGCAATGGGTCACCTTATCCTGTGACAGCTTTATTCCAGTGGCATGATCTCTTTAGAAAACTGATTTACTGTTACAAATGAGTTCCGTTCAGAGTTAGAATCATTTCACTAAATGTTAGACACTACAGGCGTGAATGAGGTAACTGTTATATACCTTAAAATATTTAGGGAAATGAAATATTACAGCTTCATCTTTGGAGAAATGCTTTCTTGTTCACTGGACAATCCCAGAGTCAACAGATGTTTGCTTTCGAGTAGTCTTTGGAGGAGGCGGTGGTGGAGTTTTGCTGGGTAATGGAGGTGGCAGGTGCTGGGAAAAATGAATTTTGAATAGAACATGTTACTGATGAACTGATTTTGATGAACTGGTTGTCCATGTATGATTTCATATACTGCTGTGAATCTTTATCTGCTTTATTCTTGAAAACTTCCTCTCAAACTTTGCCATTATGAATACAGTTTTGCTTCTAGCTTTTCACTTACAACCTAATTTTTACTGCTGACAATAACAAGTCTCTCAAGAGTTACTGATTAACTATCTCAATATTTCAGAAAAAGTCTACGGAAAGAACTTGTCAAATGTTATATCCCTATACTTTATATCATATTGATTATCAGCCTGTACTAATTGCTGTCGCCCCTAAACACTACATGGTTTAAAAAGTACATTGAATTACAGCTCTACTTCTTTTTTCTTTTTTCTTTTCATATTTTATATTTTTAGAAAAAGCACCACGCTAAAAAAGAAAAAGGAATAGATTAAACAGATTATAAATAGTTTTAATCTTATTACTGGATATTTGATAATCTTCAACATTATTCAAAATAACATTCTGAGTTGATGAAAAACATTACAAAAAATTATCCCTCTACATTATAGGACATCACACAACAAGGTAACAGGGCTGTCGGTTTACTTCAGAAGCGAATGGAAGGGCAAATACAAGCAAGTATTCCAATTGAACATGGAAGTCCAATGATTTATTTTCATAAAATTCAAGCTATCTGTATGATGACAAAAATTCATATTGCTGAAAGAATACAAGGACATTGCAGGCTTGTTCATACACTGTTTTCAGGCTAGATTTCAACAGCATGTTGGCTGTGAAATCATTGCAGCTTTTCAATCACTGCATTGGAAGTTATACTGCAGTGTTACACTCACTAAGTATTGTGTTTCGGTTCATAACATCCTTCTCCTGCTGGTGAAGATAAAACCCACCTTTGCTTTTTTTTGGTTTCTCTGCAATTTCCTTTTTTGCCATTTACCCTCATGTTATATGCCCCCCCTTCCTTAACCCATTCTCGTTACACTTTATTAGATTGCTATCCGACACGCTTCCAAACAAATGATTATAAAAACGTTAGCCACACACTAATACTTTAAATTACAATACACACTGTGAGTTTGCCAAGTTTCCTGATCACTGCCATGGGAACAATTCAAATGTTTGAAATAGCTTAGCCTTTTATTGCATGTACTGTACATGGAATCTTGATATTGGTGTTTCATTTCTACTTCACATGGCTCCATTTATAGATTGTTTTAGTTACTAGAATTCATTGTAAACAATACCTTATTTTTATCAGCATCTTGGAAGGCAATCCATAATTTCTAAATCATAGTTACACACTCATGCTATTATGAGAACATCATGGATAGACCATGTGAAATTACATTATTTGAAAAGAAGCCGAATGTTGTGATACAAAAACCTAGTGGTTCTGGATGACTCCCTGCCATTTCACATAATTCCCTCCATTCATTTCGGGCAGGGTAAACCCTAGAGCTACGCTGGATATGTTTGCTCATATTGAAACATTCAATTTACTTATTGAGAGCCAGCAGAAATGTCAGGAGAAGAGGAAAAGTACTTTTAAGGTAATTGAAGGTCCATTTCATGGCTACATTTTAAGACAGGAGCAAACAGAGTTAAACACAGGGCTTGAAGTATTTACCAGCCCTCTATTAGCCATAGGCAGATACAAAAGATGAGGGAGGGTATTGGATTCCTACTGAAGTACTATTCTTGGATCCTAACTCAAGAGAAATGTCTTTCATATCAGTCTCTGCCTGGTAGGTGTCAAATTTGAAGCCTCATCTCCTCTTTATGGCTACTGGAGGAGAGGAGCTCTCTCTCTCTCTCTCAGCTATTCAGTGGTGATTGTGATGACGAAGTCTTTGTTGCTATAGTCCTGCCCAAGCCTCCTGGCTGCAGCAAAAGGAGGTAGATGGCATTTCTCCCCCACGCCTACTCTCATATGAAAAGCAAATACTGACTCTTGCAGGGAGGGGGCCTTTGCTACGCTCCTCTTCCATAACCTCTATCTTTGGGTCCTCATCCAACCATCTGCAGAGTGAATATGACATGTTTCTTGTCGGTTTTGCTGACTTTTACAGAGTTCTGATAGCAACTGGGAAAGTGATCATAACTGGTAATTTTAATCTGCTGCTGGATCGGAAAGCTATGAACAGCAGCAAAGACAGTTGGGTTGTGTCTACAGACGAGGGAAGATAACACTGCATGAGTTCCTATTTGTAAGGTTATATTTGCAGTCATAAAGGAAAGAAATCTCAGATTTTTTCTTACAGAGATTAATAGTTTAGGCTCCACACTTACCATATGAAGGTGCCTACTCAATAGTAATGAATCTATTTTTCCAAGACCTGATTAAGCATATCCTATAATGAGGAATTTCACATCCACAGTCCAGTTAAATTTACAATATGTCTTTCCAGGGAATAGTCAGATTACCAAGGATAGCTTTTATCCTATAAACAGCATTGCTGCATTAGTTACATGATTAATGAAAATAATGCTCGGAGCAACATTCATTTTCCGTGTTTGTCTAACAAACGATGTACAATTTGCTCCTGATTTACATTGAAATACAGTTCTCAGTGACCTCTGTATCAGAAGATCAAGTCAACATACTATTTAATATGAAAAATAGGTAAAATTAGAATTTATTTTTGGTTAAAAGTGAAACTTTTTTAAAAAATTGGGATTTCTTTTATGTTGTGCTAGTAACTTTAAGTTTCCAGGTCTGATGGTCTGAAGCTTTAAGTTTATTTATTCCTATCAGGCCAAAATTTTTGAACATAGGTATCTAAAGTTAGGCTCCTGAAGCCACACGTATGCACTTGAATAAAAGTGGCTTGATTATTAGAAGGACTTAGCATTCTCAAATTCCACTGGGATCTGCAGATCTCAGCACTTTTGAAAAACAGGGCAGTTCTATTGAAGTAGTTACATATGGATTTACGAACCTGACGTTAGGGATCCAGTTTTAAAAAATTTGGCCACATTAATCTACAGATATAAAGTGAACACTTAGTGGCCCAGACCATCAGACACAGAAACTGCACATCACTAGTAAAACATTTAAAAAAATCCCAAATCAAAAGATTTTAGTTTCCTACTAGCAAAATAAACTACATATCCCTTCTGAAAAACTTTATGGAACATCACAAAAAAGTGACTTAATATTCCTTAGTATATTTTCCTCACAGGCATTTTAACTTCATATTTGTCATTAAGCAAAACTACTTTAACTTTATCGATCACATAACTTACAAAGAGCCATTTTGAATTAAATTAACTTTAAACTAGCAGTAATTGGCAATTTTACAGATCAAAGTCCTTAATCAAACCAATGGGTTTTTTTGTATTATCATCACTCATAGAAATCAAATGATCAATTATCATAAAATAGAGTTGAAGACCTAATAGGGAAGAGAATCTATTGAAAACACAATGAGGATGGGCTAAATATACTAGCCATAAACAACATGCATATTATGTAAAAGCGCTCACATTCTGCAAGTAAATTAGCCAGAAAAGAAATAACAGAGATAGGTGGATAATTAATATAATTGAATTTACAAATTCCATTATAATGTGGGCTAAATTTAGCACTCATTCATTTACATAAGCTACCACTGAATATATTAGTAGAACATTTAATGATGCCAAGGCAGCATTATTGAGAAATCAGCCCGACAAAACTTAACAGCCAATGAGAATTGGTACAAAACCAAATTTGGTCACCTAAGAGCTTACCAGTCTTTTCTTTTACTCATCTATAGTATGAATGATGGTATTCATACTCAATATGAAATTGGGAAAATGATCATTACACTCACAAAACTGATATCACCAGTACTCAAAACAATTCCACATAGAACATTTCTCAAATACAAGATCAAATTTCCCTTGCATTTACTTTTAATTAAAGGTGCTCTGTAGAGTTCATGTTTATGTTTCAGTGGTAATAGTGAATCGTTCAATTCTTGGAGATTGCTTTTCTTTCTGAGATAAAGATAGAGTCTGCCAGTGCATATTAGAACCTATTTTTGGCAGATTCCCTGACTCACGTGTACCTCAGGAGAAATGGGAACCTTATAAAAAGGCACATCTGGAAAATACAAGCATTTTGTCCTTTCCATTTCAAATATTAAATTGCTCCCATTTGTTTGGTTTCCCCCTGTACAAAAAGAAGTAATCAAATTTAAAAATCTCTCCTTTCTCCTCACTCTCTTGTAGAAATAGAGCACAAAACGTTGTACACACAGAAAATAAGAATTAAAAAAGACAAAAAAAATTATTTCTTAATCTACAGAAAAGTAGAATATGATGAGTGAAGGGTTTTTGTCACTCAGAAAGCAATATAAAACACACAAATTGAATTCTACAATGAAACCTTGTGGCACCGTATAAGGGATGAGTTCCTATATTCCTATTTTATTGGAGTTGAACAACAAGATATATGGTTAGCTTCCAAGATCTGATCAGGAATACTTCACTTTTCAGAATTAACTGATTTCACTTAATAAACCATAAATTGTGGGAGGTTTAGGTTGGATATTAGGAAAACTTTTTCACTAGGAGGGTGGTGAAGCACTGGAATGGGTTACCTAGGGTTACCTCCTTCCTTAGAGGTTTTTAAGGTGAGGCTTGACAAAGCCCTAGCTGGGATGATTTAGTTGGGGATTGGTCCTGCTTTGAGCGGGGGTTGGACTAGATGACCTCCTGAGGTCCCTTCCAACCCTGATATTCTATGATTCTATGAGTGAATGAAAAGTAATCAGGACATAAGCTACATAGTGTTGTGCAACAATTTTCCAGCCCTGTTGTCTAAAATTCATTCTCTTCTTTTACTATTATTTTTACAGTGGCACTGAGTCACACAATGTATAAACAGCAGCATGTTTGTTATTTATCTATAGAAACAAATGACGCATGACAAAAATTCGTCAGGATATAATACCCCCATAATTAAAATGTGACAGTGTGCCAAATCTTCAGC